AATCAGAGCCTCTCGTCGAGAAGCTCACTTCTCTCACTTCGACCGTTCCTCGATCGGGACGGGATTCTACGCGTGGGTGGCCGGCTTAACAAAGCCCCGTTGCCAATGCCAGTTCGACATCCGATTCTTCTTTCATCTCATCCTCTCGTTACATTGATTGTGAATCAAACTCATTTACGAGCGTTACATGCCGGACCGCAACTCACGCTAAATGTTTTGCGCCGCGATTTCTGGATACTTCGCGCTCGTAACATAATAAAATCTGTCATTCATAAATGCGTTGTATGTACTCGCGAACGAGCCAAGACTTCCACACAAATCATGGGAGATTTTCCCGAAACACGCGTGACAGCGACAGTCCGCTGTTTTTTGCATTGCGGCCTAGATTACGCAGGACCCGTGCAAATTCGCGCTTCAGCGGGACGAGGTATTACGTCGCATAAAGCATATATCGCATGCCTCTCTCCGACACTCTTGAGGACTACGAGTGCCTCACTCCCGGTCAGTTCTTAATCGGAGCAGCGCTTACTGTAAACCCGGAACCATCCTTACTCAATATTAACGAGAATCGCTTGTCGAGATGGCAACTCGTCCGACACGTTACTGAGCGGTTTTGGAAATTATGGAGTAACGACTATGTCAATACGTTACAGCGACGAGCAATTAGGCACCTTCGCTGCATTGCGTTTCATTTATTGTAATTCATTAGACTTAAGCATAAAATTGTCAAGAAGCGAGAGTCATTCCGCCAAGGCGGGCGGCTGATTCACAGTGTTAAATCATATCGAAAAAAAAATCATTCTGCCTTGTATCGTTAATTGTGGCGTGCGCTTTTGTCGTTCAATGCTACTGTCGTATCAATTATTTCGGAACTATCGTTCCAAGGCGGGCGGTATGTTCAAGCCTCTCGTCGAGAAGCTCACTTCTCTCTCTTCGACCGTTCCTTGACCGGGAAATTTAATTTGCGCTCGTAATATCGTCAAATCTGTAATTCATAAATGTGTTGTGTGTACTCGCGAACGCGCCGCGACTCCCACATAACTCATGGGAGATCTTTCCGAATCTCGCGTGACAGCGGCAGTCCGATGTTTTTTGCATTGCGGCCTCGATTACGCAGGACCCGTGCAAATTCGCGCTTCAGCGGGACGAGGTATTACGTCGCGTAAAACATATATCGCACTATTTATCTGCCTTGCGACCAAGGCAATACATTTGGAGTTAGTAAGCGACTACTCCACTCAAGCTTTCTTAAATGCTTACTCTCGATTTTGTGCTCGCCGCGGTCTACCACAATCTATGTATTCGGACAACGGGACAACATTCGTCGGGGCGGACCGAGAACTGACCGTCGCGTACCGGTCAGCATTACGTGATCCGAATTTTCTGAACTTGACTGCCTCCGATAACGTGTCGTGGAATTTTATTCCCCCGTCTGCTCCGCACTTCGGCGGATTGTGGGAGGCGGGCGTACGGAGTGTCAAAACTCATTTGCGCCGCGTGTTAGGGAATCATATGCTGACATTCGAGGAATTCTCGACTTTACTATGTCGAATCGAAGCGTGTCTTAATTCCAGGCCGATTGCGCCTCTCTCCGACACTCTTGAGGACTACGAGTGCCTCATTCCCGGTCATTTCTTAATCGGAGCAGCGCTTACTGTAAACCCGGAACCATCCTTGCTCAATATTAACGAGAATCGCTTGTCGAGATGGCAACTCGTCCGACACGTTACTGAGCGGTTTTGGAAATTATGGAGTAACGACTATGTCAATACGTTACAACAACGAGCAAAATGGCGAAAGGTAGAACCGCCGATTGATACCGGGCAACTCGTCCTCCTGCGTAATCCTATGTTACCTTCCTGTAAGTGGGAACTGGGCCGAGTTACTCAATGTCATCCCGGTTCCGACGGCTTCGTACGGGTCGTCACCGTCAAGACGGCCACCTCGGAACTCAAACGACCGATTGTTAAACTGTGCGTATTACCGATCAATAGTGAGGCAACGAGCAATTAGGCACCTTCGCTGCGTTGCGTTTCATTACTGTACATTATTAGATTAAGTTCAAATTATCAAGATGCGAGCGTCATTCCGCCAAGGCAGGCGGCAAATTCAGCGAGTCAAACCACGTCGCGGAACTTGTCGTCTTTTCGCTCATGTTGTTAATTGTGGCGTGCGCTCTTTTCGTTTACTGCAATTGTTATCTCGATTATTTTGGCACTATCGTTCCAAGGCGGGCGGTATGTTCAAGATTGAGACGTTGAATTTAATCGATAAATTTAAACTGTAAATTTAACCGACAAATCTGACCGGTAAGAGCCGCAATCAAGACAAGAGCGAGAATAAACATCGTTGCGATCAGCCGATCGGCGCGTGATTGCGCGATCATAACAAAGAAAAAGTGTGACAAACACCTAGATTCTCGAACTTTCGGCGCCGAAAATATCCTTTTATGGAAATAGGTCGACCGCGACCCTTTTCCGTCGTTCTACAGTCTGCCGCTGACAACGATTTGAGCTGGTTGATAGCAATCGATCATAGTTTCTAGTATCATTATTTCTCGTATGATATTCTATCGTGTCGTATTCCCGCTCGTGTCGTGTCGCGCTACTCATTGTCAACTTCGCGTTCTATTCAATTTCAAACCGAAGTGTCTCGCTCACGATCGCATCATATTATCGTGGCAATCAGTTCTTTATGGTTAAATCGTTTAACAGAAGATTTCCGATCTTAGTCGCGGGACACGTGTCGAGGCTCGCTCCCGGTGTTTTCTAATAAACGTTCTTAAAACTACGCTCACGTAAGTAATCTTTCAATTCCTATTCCTCCAGCGAATCTACGGATTCGCGCTACACATTGCTTCTCGCTCAACTCTGAGCGTATCTCTCAAGATTCGGGCGATCTCGTCGAGGTCGACTCCCGAACACCATACAAAAAACAACGCAGTATATCCTTATCATTACAACAAGAAAAGCTTACCCTATATCTCTTTCTTATCCTAAACTCCTTATCCTACCTACTTAACACACACACACATTACACAACTACGCTGTCTTAACTACCTATGCCTATGGACCTCCGTTTCCGTTTCCGTTTACAATTTTTTCTTTCTCACACTCTCCCTCATCCACTCCCCCACTCCTCCACTCATTCTTCCCTTCTCCTCTTCTTTCTTCCAACTCTCTCATCCACCTCTCTCCCTCTCCTTCCTCTCCTAATACCACCCCCACATTTTCTTGCCACGTACCTTCCTTCCCCCAATCCGTGCATTCCTCCCAAACATGTTCCCATGACTCCACCTCCCTCTCGCACCCCCTGCATTTCCTTCCCTCCTCCTCCTCCCAGTATCTCCCTCCCATCATCCCATTTCCTAGTCTAAATCTTGCTACCCTTTGCCATCTGCTTTCCCCCCATCACTTTTTTAAGTATCCTGGCACTCCCTCTCTTTTCACCCACTTATACCACCTATTATATGTCGACCCCCATATCCTCTTTCATCTCTCCTCTTTCTGCAACTTTCTTTCTCTCTCAATTACCTCCTCACCCCTTAATTGCCCCATCTCCCTCCATTCCATCATCTCTTTCATTTTCCACCCCCTTTCCTCTATAAATACCTTCCTCTCTTCCTCCCAGCCCTTCCCTTCTTTCCCCCTCTCAATCCTTCCCTTCATCTCTTCCCAACACTTCCTAGCCAGCTCTCCTCCTTACCCTCCTCCAATTTCTTTTCATAATTTCAAGCTCTCATACCCGCGCTCCCCCTCAACAAATCCCTCTGCAATTCCTCCCTTACCATATAACCCGGCGTATATCTTTCCACTCCCAACACCCATTTCAAATACCTGTCCTGCAGTCTTTCCATCCCCTCCCTCTCCTTCCAGCCCCACACCTCCAACCCATAACTAACCACCGATCATATTAGCTTATCAAACAACCAAACCCTTTTTCCCCAATCCCCACCAAATCTCTTTTTTCCCATCCCCCACACCTGTCCTAACAACGCTGCTCGCTTCCTAACCCTTTCCCTTACATGCGCATCCTGCTTTCCATTCGACCTCACCGTGTACCCTAAATACTTAAACTCCCTCACCTCCTCCAACAATTTTCCCTTCCAAAACTGTTTTATTTTCTTCCATCTCCCTCCTCCCTTCCTACATCTCATTACTTTAATCTTCGCCACATTCACTTCCAAACCCTTCCTGTCCATATATCTCTCCAACTATCATCCCCTTCATTCCTCCTTCATCCTCCGCCAACAACACTATGTCATCCGCATATGCCAATGTATACACCTTCCCTCCCCCCAGCCTGATCCCACCCAACCCTCCCCTCTTCAACTCATCATCTACGTCCGCCAACAACAACGTAAACAAACATCACTCAACGGGCAACCCTGTCTCACCCCCCTCACCGTCCAAAACTCCTCCCCCTCCCTTCCTCACCCTGTTTACCGTCTCCCTTAATACCTCCCCACACCTCCCAATCAGACCCTCCCTTACTCCCCTTGCCCTCATCGCCTCTATTAACACCCCCTATACACCGAATCAAAAGCCGCCTTCAAGTCCAAAAACATCGCTACCATTCTACCATCCTCCCACCTGCCTGTTAATCAAATAATTGAGCACGTATATGTTGTCTATCATCCCTACTCTCTTTCTAAATTCTGTCTGACTTGCCGGAATTAAACCCATCCCTTCCACCTCATTCTTCAATCTTTCCGCCAATATTGCCACATACACCTTATACGCTGTCTGGGTTAACGTTACCCCTCTATATTCTTCTACCCTATCCCCCTCCCCTTTTTTTAGAATCGGCACTATTATCCCCTCCCTCCATTCTCTTGGCCACCCTTCCCCTTTCCAAACCCTTTTACACACCTCCCAAATCCCCTCCTCCAGCTCTTCTCCGCCATACTTCCACACCTCATTCGGTATTCCATTCCCTCCCGCCGCCTTACCATCCTTCAACTTCCTTATCACTTTTCTAACCTCCTCCCTTCTGATTTCCTCCTCTCCATCCTCCCACATCTCCCTTCCTGCCCCCTTTATTGTCCTCCATTCCACTCCTCCCAAAAGCCCTCTAAAATAACCAGCCCATTCCTCCATTTCTATCCCCTCGTTCACTCTCTTTTTGTTCCTTCTTTCCTTATTTATTATCTTCCATATCTGCTTTTCCGTTTTCACCTCCTTCACCTCTCTCTCCCACCTCTCAACTTCCTTTCTTTTCTTTTCCTCACGCATGACCTTGTACCTCCTCTTTTCCTCTCTATATTTATCCCTTATCCCCCCTTCCCTCCTCCATTTCCTTAGCTCCCTCCTTGACCACTTCTTTCCCCTCCTTGCATTCCTCATCTCACCATCCTTTTTTCTCCCCTCGTTGCCTTCTCTCCTCCGCCTTTTCTAAGGCTCCCAACGCCCTACCCTTCAACTCCGCCCACTCCTCTATTCCTTCCTTTCTTCCCGCCCTTTCCCCAAACTCTTCCCCAAACACCTTCCTACACTCCATCGTCCATACTCCTCTCATCACTCTGCCCCCCCCTCCTTGCCCTCTCCCCCTTTCATCCCAGCTCATCCCCCTTATCCAAACTGTAAGCGGATGATGATCCGAGTCCACCCTCGCTGCCACCATCAATTTCTCTACCCCTTCCCTCGTTATCTCATCCCCTACCACATAGTCAATTACCGATTCCCCTCTTCCCCCGCCGTATACGTCCATTCACCTTCCCTACCCCCCTTTATATTTCCATTCAATATTGACCACCCTTGTTCCTCCAGGAACCTACATAATCTGTTCCCTTCATCATTCACTTTTTTATCTTTCGAGTTCCAACGCCTTCCTTCCCCCTCTTCCTCATTCCCCTCTTCCACTCCTCCCCCTTCCTCCCCTGTTCTTGCATTAAAGTCCCCCCCCCCCTATCAACACTCGCACTCCCTCCTCTTTTTCCTCCATCCACTCCTTCAACTCCTCTAATTTCTTCTCTATATACCTATTCATATATATCCCCACTACCCTCCACCATTCCCCTAACCAAACCTTACATGTCATTAACCCTTCCTTTTTTGTCTTCTCCCTCTCCTTCTCTACCTTTAACCCTACCCTTACTCCCAAGATCATTCCCCCCATCGCCCTTCCTTTCTTATTCTTTCTTCCGGCCCACTGCATTTCCCATACATATCCCCTCGGCATCTTACCCCTTACCCTCTCCCAGCTTTTATTATCCACCCACGTTTCGCACAATATCATAATATCCCACCCTTTCAGACCCTCCCAAAAATCTCTATCTTTATTCTTCAGCCCCGCTACATTCCAAAAACCCACCCTATACCTTCCCTTCCCCCCTTTCTTTTTCTCCCCCTCCCTCTCCTCTCCTCACCCCATGCTCCTCTTTCCCCTCTCACCTTTTTCTTCCTCTCCCACTATCTCTCCTCCCTCCCTGTCCTCTCCTACTCTTATTTTTCCCCCTGATCTTTCCATCCTCTTCCCTCCCCATCCCTTAACTCTTCCTCTCCTTCATTCCATTTCCATTTTCATTCCATTTCCACCAAATACCATTTATTTGCACTTTTCCATATCCTACCCATACTCTCTTACCTTTTTCTCTCTCTCTCCTTGCCACACTCTCTATTAACCATCTCATCCTTCTTTCTCTCCATGTTAAGTCATCATCCAACCTTATATCTCTGCCCTTTATTTCTCCTCTCCTTCTCATTATCTCTTTCTTCTTCTCTACTTCGTCTATTTTCACTATTGCCGTCCCTTTTCCCCCCTCCTTACTTCCTAAGCATCTCACCCCCTCTACCCTAGCCTCTATTTTTATCTCTTTTAATACATCCTCTACCCTTGCTCTCACCTCTCTTTCCCCTCCCTTCACTCCTCTTACTACAATATTCCTCCTTCTCTCCTCTCTTTCCTTCATCTCCATCCTTATTTCAATTTCTTTAATTTTCCCCTCTAATTCTCCTCCTCTTCTCTCCCCCTTTTTTCCTCCCCCCTTTCTCTAAGTTTCATCTCTCGCCATTCATTCTCTAGCGCCTCCACTCTTCCCTTCATCTCTTCTCTCTCCACCCTCCCT